ATGAAGTGTTTATTTGATCGTTGCTATCAAATGAGATGATAACAAGTGTTAGCTGACATCACATGATGATATTATGCATAGAAAAATATTCGAAGAGCATTTAGTGAATATTGACCTGCTTCTAATACATTTAGAAGTACTTCGAACCATTCTAACAGAAAATTTCGAAATACTAAAATTGACTTCACAGATTGACGTATGTTAAAGAACATTTTTACAGTTACTATTAATCTATTTGTTCACAATTTTATCAGAATACAAGAATATGAAACAATTAAATGTCATGTGATAAATAAGTTGATAAAGGTTTCTTTGTTTTTTTTTGCGTAACACTGTATAGTTATTCAACACAAGATTTTTTTATAAAGAAAGAGGGTTTTCAAAAATCTTAAAATTAATTACATGATAGAAATTTTTATACCATATATAAAAGTTATCATTCATGTTTTCTGTGAAAAACATCTAAAAAAATTGTTGAACTATAGAGAGTAGAAATTTACATCACCATTCCGTCACAGACTATGACGGACAGAATCGATGCAACCATTACAGACGCTGTTGATATACGATCAAGGATTGTGTATAAATAACGTCTTGTTATTATATATGAAATACTTCCTTATTGTATTTCTCGAGAAGAATGATAAAGAAATGTATTCCCAAATAGATAATATAAAACAATTTTCCTGTGATTAATAACACCAACTGCATCGTGTTTTACATTTTAATGCCGTAGGGATTATACTAATAGCTTTTTTTTTATAGGAAAAACAACACATGAAATTATAGAAAGTCGAGTAAGAAAATGATATCTGTTATGTATTGTAAATTTTCGATATCGAATAAACATCAATCATTAAGCAAAACATTGAGTTGTATGTTTTTTAATTTATTTAATATATTCTAATAGAATAGATTTACTTTTAAGTTATGAAAATTGAATATTGATTAATAGCAGTTGAAATCGAAAAATATTCCATTGTTTTCTACTTTTAACTTTATTTACTCACTTGCTTCTAATACTTAGCAAGTCAAAGACGATCTTGTTAGTCAGCATATTGATGATATTCTACGAAATGAAATGAATAGTATGTATGGTAAATACTTTTATTACAACGAAAGAAAAGAAAAACGAAATTTTTCAATGATAATTTTATTACTTATTGAACGTGTTGATGACGAGCAACAATAGATGGAAACATGATTCGATATGTTTTTTTTTTATTAAAAGATAATGATGGAAAAAATGAATTTTAAGAATTCAATTGAATACGTACATAAACATAAATATCATGTATTGATCATAAAAATGCAAACATGAGGAGAAGATGATATGTGTAAAAAGTATCAATCAAATGATGAAAATATATCATAAAAAATAGTTACAGAAAAAAAAAACGGATGATCAATTAGAAAGAAAATTCTTAATGTAGCGAAATAACTTTTGTGTTATCATACAGATATGTGTTAAGGATTGTACTCAGAAAAATATCTAATCTATTGTTCTTAAAATTGTATCAACATTTTTTTGTTTGTTATTTTCTGTCAGTGATTGTCTATTTATTAAGACATTTTTTATTCTATCTCTCTCATGGCATAATTCTTTGATAGATAACTTTACAAATCGTATTTCATTAGTTAAAATAGAAACTTTAATATTATCTAAACAAAAGTTAGATATTAAGAAGCATAAAAGATAATCTTTATATTCTCATTAACGACAAAAATTGTTTTGTTAACTGACAAAAATGGTACTTATGATGGTCGTCAATAGGCGCGCAACTGTAATGGTTTTTTTTTTTTCTTAGTATAATATTAACCAAAACAACGATCTCGATCGGATATCATGTCTGTCGAATGTACGATAGAATGTTGCTGGCAGATACTAAGAAGAAAAAAAAAATGTCGAAGTTCTATTTCTATCATATCTTTTTTAGCAAAACAACAGGGTGCAGATATATACAGGAGTAGAAAGCCACTGTTTGACTTATTTTTGGTGTCTTCAGTAAGGCTAATTTGACGCCTACTTCTATACTCACTTGGCAAATAACAGGAGAGAAAAAAAAAAAGGAAAAAATATTTCCATGCATAAAGAAAAGAAAACTAAAGGATAGTACATCTCTCTGTAAATCTCTCATTATCATACACTGCCGTTCTGTTGTTTTCCTACATATCACCATTTCTTTATGTATTGAAACGATGTATTCAATGCGTAGTGGTGGTGGATATCAATATCCACAAGGAACAACAACATATTATACTCCTCATGACAGTAATCGAACAGCTCAAAATAATTTTATCTCACAATCACCTTATATTGAACGACGCTCAGCAAATTCTTTCCCATATATTGAATCTCGAACAATAAATATTTCTCATTCGATACCAACCCGTCGTGTAAATCCTGCGTTAACAATAAATCCAAATCAACCACCACGAACACAATCTGCTTCTTATGGAAAACCAACGTATACCTATAAAAAAAATGTACGTGCTGAGATTGATGATTCACCAATTATTGATCCACGTGCTTTTCATTATTTAAATTTAAATGAACAAAAAGCAAAAAAAAAGACAACATTGGATGATATCGAAAGTGGTATTGATACACGACCTATAATTAATCTTGATGCAGTTGCACAATTAGAACGACGACGACAGCGACTCTTAGAAAAGAACAATCGATTACGTGGTGATGATGGATCCAAGGAAGGTATTGATGATAGGTCTATTATAGATTCCAATGCCTTTCGTTACATTGAAGCGAAGACAAATAAGATTGAAAAACAAGGTCAAGGTATTACTAGTGGTATTGATGATAGACCCATCGTGAATCCAGATGCATTCAAGTAATTATCATCTTTTCTTTTTTTTTATATTGTTTTCATAAAGCAAAATTGTACTTGATTTATTTAAGATATTTAAATGTTAAACGTCAAGAAAAATCAGTAAAACAATTAGATGAACCATCAATTGATACACGACCAATTATAGATCCAGATGCATTTAAATATATTGAAAAACGCAATATACCACCAATGAGAACTGTTGAAAGTGGCATTGATAGTGAACCAATTGTTAATCCAAATGCTTTTCGTTATTTGGAAAAGCATGAGCCACCATCTCGTCGTGATGTTCAACCAGGTGTTGATACAACATCAATTGTTAATCCTGATGCATTTAAATATATTGAAAGACGTGCACCAACAAAATCAGGACCAGTTGAACCATCAATTGATTATCGTCCAATTGTTAATCCTGATGCATTTAAATATATTGAAAGACGTACACCAACGAAATCAGGACCAGTTGAACCATCAATTGATTATCGTCCAATTGTTAATCCCGATGCATTTAAATGGATTGAAAGAAAAGAAACAAAACGTCGTGTTGATAATGAACCAGAAGTTGATGAACGTTCATATGTTAATCCACAAGCATTTCGTTATATTGATCGACAAGTTGGAAAAAGAAATGAAATTCCTATACCTGAAATTGATACACGTAGTTTAATACTCGAACGAAATCCATATGCTTTTGTTCATCTTGAACGTAAATTTATAACTCGAAAAAATGATATTGAAAGTGGTGTTGATCAACGATCTTTTGTTGATCCAGATGCTTTTAAATATATTGAAGGTCAAAAAAATAATTCAAAAAATAAAACAATATATTCATCAATTGATCCATCAATTGATACAAGATCATATGTTAATACAGATTCATTTCGTCATCTTGAAGGTACACAAAAGAAAACAACGTATGATAATTATAATGATCATGAAGGTATTGATGAACGACCTTTTGTACCATTAAGTGCTTTTCGTCATCTTGAATATACTAATGAACAAAGTTATCCTAATGAAAATGATTATATATCATATGGACAAACAGATGTTTGAAGAGTTTTCTATAGAATAGAATTTGTTATCCCATTATACTTTTATTGTAGATTTATTTATCATATTATAATAAATTTATTTGAAATGTAAGGCAGTGAAAAAAATAAATAAATAAATAAAAATTCAATTATTATTTACTTTATTGAATAATTTTTTTTTTCTTAAAAGACTTATTGCAGAAAGATAAAGGATGAGGTGAATCGAAATTCATAATTATCACTTGTATATTTCAATGTTTTAATGATTTATCAATAAAGACATCGGTTTATTTTGCATTAGAAATCACCTACGAATGAATAATTCGAACAAAAAACAAATTCATATTGGTTTATTATATCTTCATTTTTATCGAGTAATACGATAACGTTAGAATAAATATAGGCAATAGCGTATGATCTAAGGAAGAATTTCCGAGGATGAACATATACCATTCAAAAATAGATATAATTTGATGTTTCTTATTT